GAGAGGTGGGGACTGGTCTGTCTGCTTTAACAAGTAAAAATATCTTTTGGCTTCCTGAACACCCCCGCCCCCCCACCCCCAGCTTCCTAAATATAGTTGTTGATGTGTGACTTAACAGGGACTATGTTAAAAGGCTCTACCCAACCTTGGGGAGTCTTAATTCAGTGCTAGAAAGCAAGAAGCTTACTTAGGAATTATTAGAATGAAACAATGACACGGATGAATAACATTTGGCAGTCAAGCTATGTCATTACTCTTTTGTGTCTTCTTAAAAATTAGGGAGGAAAATTGCTCTTGTATTTCCTAGTGTAATTTGTTACATAAGTAGAATTGCTTTTGTATGTTCAATGGACAGCTGGCTATAATTTCATTTTCAGGTCCACGATAGAATCTGGTTAATTATAATCAAAGTTGTATCTGTAGATAGTTGTATTTTATGCTTCCTAGAAGGCAGCCTTTAAGGAGCACTGGTGACATAGTGGTTACATGTTGGGCTAGTAACCCCACGGTCAGAAGTTCAAAACTACCACCTGCTCTGGAGGAGAAAGATAAGACTTTCTACTTCCTTAAAGAGTTACAGACTAGGAATGGGTTTTGGACTCACATTAAATCCTAGCTCCAATTTAAGAATAATTCGTTCTTACATCATGGCCCTGCTTGATTCTTGCCCTCAGGAAGGGAACACAGGAGATATAGGCACTATAGCAAACTGGGGCGAAGAAATTACATGGTGCTGGCCATCAGATAAAATAGTATCTGGGGTCCATCTAAGTGAGATGTCAACTAAGTCCACATGGAAGAAGCACACCATGATCAGTCATCAAAGGATTGGAAATCATATCATCTGAAGTTGAAGGAGGGAATAGTATCAGAGCCTAAATTGTGAGAATCCGGTTTGCAGAAGGGTATGGATGACAGTGCGAGCCAAAGATACATTTGTGGGAACTACATTATGAAATAAACCTCCTGTGATTTCCCTCTATCCATCATAGAGAGATGGGAGGAAAGTGGTTATTAACCAGTGCATTGGAGAAGATCAAGCTATGTCATTACAGGGTTGCCACCTGACTTGAACGGCTATAACCTTGCCAGTTGATCCCCCTCTGATGTACATTGGACTTGATCTGGTTTTCAACATTTCCTGTATTTTTTCCGTTCATATTGGGGTTTATCTCAGATGTGTTATATCATTGGGGGTCACCCTCCTGAGCCTGTGTTACACGTTTTTCTGTTTTTCAGTATATTAAACCCAATATTGATGAACCTATAGGAACACAAGTAGAATAAGGGTTGGGGGGGGACCACATGGGGAGGGGGACCGTACAGTGGGTGGGGGTGGGTGGTGGGTAAAAGAGAGCTGATGTTATCAAGGAGTCCAGGTAGGAAAAGAATGTTTGGAAATGGATTGTGGTAGCAATTGTACAAAACTGCTTGATGAGATTGAACCATGGAATGATCTATGTATTAACTTCCAGTAAAAAACAAATTAAAAAAATTTTTAAAAAGAGTTCGTCTTGGCAACCCAAAGGGGCAGTTCTACTCTGCTCTATTGGGTCACCATGAGGGAGAACTGACTTGAGGGTGGTGAGTTTCTGTTTTTGAGAAGGCAGCCTCTTAAGTTTGTGCTTCGTCTCCAATCCTTGCTGACTCCTGGGAGGGAATGGGACCCACAACCAGCCTCTTCAGGAAACCTGGACTTTGTGCCCTGGAGCAAGCACCCTCCTTGTCCCCTCTGTGCCTGTGAGTTCCTTTATGCTGGTGGTAGAAGGGATAGCACTGGGGAGGAGAATGGAAGTGGCAAGAGGCTATTGTTTTTTGGGGGTGGTGGTGGGGCGATGTAAATGTTAGCTTAGGTCCTTGGACGGCACAAAATGGCTTGTGCTCAACTACTAACCCCAGAGTTGTTCAAAGTCATCCAGTGGTACCACGAAAGAAAGGCCTGGTGACTTGCTCCCCTAAAGATTTAAACAAAGAAAACCCTATGACATAGTTCCATGCAAACACATAATGTCTCCATCAACTTCGTGGCAAAGGGTTTGGGTTTTAAATGTTGGCTCAATTCTATCTGTAATAACGATAAAGCGGACACTCCTAAGTTCAGCTAAATGGTATGTTCATGAAAAAGCAAGTACACACACCCTATACTTCATTGAGTTTTTCTAGCAATCATCAGTTGAAGGGTGACTACTGGCACCATCCTTGAGTCAATTCTGACTCATCGAGACCCCACAAGACAGAGTAGAACGGTCGCTGTGGGTTTCCAAGGTTGGGAATTTGATAAGAGTAGACAGTCTCATTTTTATATCTAGGGGAAGCTGGTGGTTTCAAACTGCAAACCTTGTGGTTAGCAGCCCAAATGAGTAACCCATGGAACCGCCAGAGCCCTTCACTGGGATAGAAAAGCACTTTCAAACAGTTTCTGGCTTCCAGGAGGTGCATTTTATAACGTCACTCACTGCCCGTGATTCTAACTCACAGTGACCTGCAAAGGCATGGGGAGTTGAAAGTCTCGTCTTTCTCCTGCAGAGCAGCTTGTGGTTTCAAACTGCTGACCTTGTGGTTAGCAGCCAGCTCATAACCCACTATGCCGCCAGGGCTCCTTGTTTTCAATCACGTAGTTGCACTTTTAGACACTGATACGTGCATGTGCACACCCCCAGATCACTGACTATGCACGTAACATGTGGTAAATGCAGGATCAGATGTTCCTGTAGCAACTGGAGTTCAGAGGGGTGCAGCTAATGAACTGACCTTGGAAGGAACTTTAGACCACACACAGAGAGGGGAGAAAAATACCAGTAAACAAATGGCCTTCCAGCGCTTGCTCTCCCTCACAGCAACTGCCAATGTGTCAGACTAGAACGTTGTTCCACAGTTTTCGATGGCTGCTTTTTTGATAGATCACCAGGCCTTTCTTTCAAGAAGGCTCTCGGTGGACTCAGACTTTCCACCTGTGGATCAGCAGCCCAGCACATTGACTGTGTGCACAACTTCAGGACTCCAGGTAGGGTGTGAAGTCCTAGGCGGGTTGCAGCAGTTTGGGAAAGGTACCAGAGTCTGAAACAAGTACACGCTTTCACGCACCACTATGGTTGAACCTCGGCAGATTGGGCCTGGGTAGAGTCCATTTCTGAGGCTTGTAGGTGCACTGCTTTTTTATTTAGATGATAATTTTCCATCAACAGAGGAGCCTGTGGCTCAGTGATTAAAGCCCTCAGCTGTTAACCTAAAGATCAGCGGTTCAAACCCACTTGCCCTTTCCCAGGAGAAGCTGTGACAGTCTGCTTCTGTAAAGATTACAGCCTTGAGGACATTATAGGGCAGTGCTACTTTGTCCTGTGAGGTTGCAATGACTCAGTTCAATGACAGGGAGTCTGCTTTTGGTTTCCAGAGAGAAGCCAGCTAAAGACCACAAACCCCACTGAAATTCCCCCTGATCAGTGTCCTAAGCAACGATGACCATACCACAAGTGATACTTCAGTGGAAACTTTATTAGAGTTATGTCTTTTTGAAAAAGATCTGTTACATGTTGTATATAGTTTTTAACCATAAGGTAGGTTCTGTAGTCTAAACTCCATTTTACTGATGGGGAAACAGACACAGGGGTGAGTTAAGTTACCTGCACAACTGGTCATGGGTGGAACTGGGATTCCAATTCAGGCTGTCTGCAGAATCAGAGCTCTAACTGTGAATGCAGACCAAACAACAAGAAAAACAAAACAAAACACACACACACACACACACACACACACACACACACACACACCCATGGGCATCCAAAAGACTTGTTTCAATCCATCGCTTGCTCTAGAGCGACATCCTCCTACCTAGTTTTAAATGTCTCCCAGTTAGGCTTCGGCCTCAAGCAGTTACAAAAATCACAACCACGAACAACAGAACCACGAGCTTACAGTGTCGTGAGAACCGCACTGCACACTCGCTGTCTTGCTGGCTCCTCTCCTGCCTCAGAGAACTCGCACGACCTTCTTCGGTAAGGCGAGGGCAACCTAAGTGGGTCTGAGGAATGGAGATCGACGGTGGACGGGAGGGGAAAGGGTTAAGAGTGTGAGTTGAAACTTGGTCCAGTTTCAGAAAGTTCTCCCGGGAGGCCGCCTGCCTGCCCCTTCTCGGACCCTGCGGGCGAGTCCGCCGGTAACAGGATGCTGGGGCTCGGGCGCTCGCTCCGGCTTTGTGCGATGGAGAAGAGCCAATAAGGAGCG